ACCGACTTTGCTCTCCGGACTACTAAGTCCGCCGCGTGCGCACTGGGGAAGACGATGTCCACACTTGTGGTCCAGGAACGCCACCTCTGGCTAAACCTGGCAGATATGCGCGATGTTGACAAAGTTCGCTTTCTTGACTCGCCCATATCCCAGGCTGGCCTGTTTGGCGACACCGTCGGTGAATTCACCCAGGAATTCGAGGCGGTGAGAGAGAAGTCTGATGGGTGATGATGGGTCCGTAAGCCCGCTCTGCCCGCCGTGCCATCCATACCTGCTCCTCGCCGAAGGCGCCCGCCTACAAGAGCAGCACCGCCCCCGCAAACGCCTCGGGCGAAGCGAGCGCGTCGAGCACCACGGAGGCAGGCAGCCCCCCCTTCCCAGAACGCCACTAAGTCCGGCAATGGACCGCAAAGCGTCCTTGGGACAGACCATTTGGAGAATAGGGAACTTGCTCTTTCCCTGCTGGAGGGCGGAGCCCCATTTCCAACGGCACTTTTTACTGCCATGAAAACATCATGAAAGAGCACTTTTCCACTTCCCCAGATGTGACAGCCCAAAATCTGCCAGTCTGGGACGCTATGCTTTCTAGCTTGCAGATTCGGTGCGATTCTCCAGTGGCTCACGAGCGCTGGGAGGACAGTCTCCTTTCTCCCACCCCTCGAGCCTTTCCTTTGGAGCTCGGTTGCGGAGTGAGAGCAAATCTCTCACCTCCAGCTCTTCCGTGGGACCCGCGCGCTTCCCGGATCAGCACACCCACTCTGCGCTGCCCCACTGCTGGTAAGTCAGCGATTGTAGCGATGAGTCCATTAGTAAGAGCTCTGCCTGCCTGGTTAGCGCGGGCCAGCTCTTCGCGGTGGCTCATACGCACAATCAGACTCGGCTATGCGATTCAGTTCGCGAAACGGCCCCCCAAGTCACGGGTGTGTATTTACCAGGATCAGCCCCCTGTCTGCCCCTGTCTTGCGAGAGGAGATTGCTGTCCTCCTAGCGAAGGATGCAATCAAGCCGCTCCCTCCAGCCGAGATGGAGAGCGGGTTTTAAAAACCCACACTTCATCGTGCCCAAAAGAGCGGTGGGTCACAGCCAATTCTTGATCTACGCGTTTTGAACCGCTGTCTGCACAAGCTGCCGTTCAGAATGCTCACGCAGAAGCGCATCCTCCAGTGCGTTCGTCCTCTGGGTTGGTCTGCAGCATTAGACCTGATGGACGCGTATTTCCATGTCTCCACTCTTCCTTGCCACCATCAGACACCCCGCGGAGGGTGCCTTAGCACCCCTTCGGCTCATGGGAATCTGCATACACAATTTTCTTGATGACTGGCTGATTTTTGCCCACTCTCGGAGCAATTGATTATGCACAGAGACAAAGTGCTACGGCACTTCCACCTGTTGGGGTTTCAGGTCAACCGAGAAAAGAGCAAACTCGCCCCCGTGCAGAGGATCTCTTCTCTCGGGATGGAGCTGGACTCGGTCACCATGGCAGCGCGCCTCTCCGAAGAGAGGCAGACCCAGCCCTTTCTTTATTGTCCAGTTCGCGTCTTGCGTATTATCCGGACCGCACTCAGAGTTTAGATCATCTGAGTAGCTCTGTTATAGCGGTCGGCAGCAGGGAAGTGCCGTATCGAAATTAAGTTTCCCACTGGATTGTGGATGCCATTCTCTCGCTTATCAGAGCCTAGGTGAGCTGCGCCTCTCTAACAGACATCTGTAGAGCTGCGGGCTGGGCGACACCCAACACATTTGCAAGGTTTAACATTCTGCAAGTGGAGCCGGTTTCCTCAAGGGTATTAGGTAACCCTTTGGTGATTGAGGAAACAACTCAGTAGGGTGTTGAAACACGCTTACTGCGCCATTCTCCCTAACACGGAGGTATGTGCGCCTTTTTATCTGTCAGTAAAGTCCCTGTCAGTTGAGCCCTGCAGATTCCTCCGTGATCCCCAGCACTGACTCAGCGGAGGAGTCACCTGCTGGCCGACTACGTTGTAGGTCTGCCCGCTGGTCAGCCCGCGTTTTGGGTATAGGTGCCTGCTATGCGTGATCCCCACTAGGCGATCCCATATGCCTATTCCGCCACGGTTAAGTCCCCCCCCCCTGGGTGGACCCGTGTCTTCCCTCTTCGCTAACCACTTTTTTTTTTTTTTCTATGCGTACTCCCCCTTTTTAGGGCTAGTCCATTTGTAAATTCTGCCATCTATCCCCCCCTTGGGTAGCGGATGGCCTCCGCAGCGTCCTCCCTATTGGGATTGCACACTTCTCAACGTACTGTCATATTTTCCTAGAATTATCTAGATGCTCACGACTTCCCACAAAATATATCTAAGTCCGTAAAACTTCTGTTGAAGTAGGATAAATTAGGGCCAGGGACACATTGCAGGACCGCACCTCCCATGATGTGGGTGCGTCACGCTTACTTGACTATCCCCTCATCGGGGGCGTTGGTAAGGTGCAGTCATTATGGCGCTTTCCATAGCTCTCCCATACGTGGATTTTCAAAATCAAATCCACTGTATAGCACTGAAGTTCCCCAACCGAAGGGGAACGTTCGAGGTTACAGAAGTAACCCTTCGTTCCCCGAGGAGGGGAACGGAAGTGCTATACTCCGTCGCCATAATGACTGTCCCTTAGCTGTTTGAAAGTCTTTTCAGCTTAAAAGGATGGTGTTTGGTCACTCCAGGTGTGCTTATATGCTGGGATAATTGGCAATGAAGCACACCTGTGCAAGCTTACGCTGCCAATTCATTGCATTCATTGGCCCGTTCAATACTCTTTCAGACAAGCGGCTTCTGAACTGAAACCTCCCATACGTGGATTTTCAAAATCAAATCCACTGTATAGCACTTCCGTTCCCCTCCTCGGGGAACGAAGGATTACTTCTGTAACCTCGAATGTTACTGATAATACAGCAGTGTAAATCAACATGTTGTTACAAAAGTAAAACACTGCATTTTTGTAATCAGTTTTAACTAGGGCTGCACAATATATCGTTTCAGCATTGATATCACAATGTGATCATTTGCAGTAGTCACGTCACAGAATCTGCAATGTCAAGTTTAGCTTCAGTTTATTTATTCTTCAGAAAATTTGAGTGGAATTATAGCTGACCAAGAACCATATTGTTAAATGGTTGTAAAGTTTAACCTTAATAGAGTGAAAGAGTGCTTGTTTGCTTTGTTTAAGGCAGATGATTGTAAGATTTCAAGTGCATTTTAATAATTTGTGTACAAGAAATTATACCAAATAGAAATTAATTTACATTTAACTCTGATACAATAAAGATCAAGCTGTTTTATTTGCTTTTGATTGATTATTTACTTTATACTCAAATACAGTTAGACTCAGCAATAGAAATAAATTAATTAAATTTCATTTTTGCAGATTATCTGGCCTACAAAATCATCCCAATTTATATAAAGTCATGAGCTATTTCCAAACTGAGCTAGTCAATTCATCTGGTGAAATAATTATAATCATATAGCAACAAATATCACAGAAAAACTATCGCAATGTTTGATTTTTCCAATATTGTGCAGCCCTAGTTTTAACATAAATGAATTTAATAATTGCCTTCAGCTTTAATGGTCTTTAAAATTACAAAAAAATTTTATCCATTTTAAACTAAAATGTATTTTAAAATAATATTTAAAAAAAAATTCTAAAGACCAGGGGCCTCATGTACGTAGACTTGCGTGGAAATCATACTAAAAAATTGCGTATACACAAAGCTGTAAATGTGCGTACGCAGAAAAAAATTCAGATGCATGAAACACTGCGTACGCCGAATCTCACGCATATTCTTTTGAACATCTGAATGAACATGAAACTGAGCGCAACATGCACGAGCTCAAAACCCCTCCCTGCCTCCTCCCCCGTATGAATATGCTAATGACTCTACTTTGGCAAAACCCAAGGAAAAAGCAAAGTCAAAAGCAAGCAAGAAGAGAAACTTTGAACAGAATGTGAATTGGAGGTGCTGCTTTCGGAGGTAGACCGGAAAAAAAGCGGTGTTATTTGCAAGTTTGTTCTCCGGAATTAACAACAAAAGAAAAAAATAGAGTGGGAGAGTTTAGCTGATGCGGTTAACACAGTTGGGTCTGAACATCGCAAATGAAATTGAAAAAGTGAAATAAAAAAGAAATAGTGTGATTTGTAGGTGTAAAATATTGCAGTACTCTCAACATTCTCAGTGGCGCAGATCGTAAGACGCATGACAACATATTTTGACACGTTTGACCATGAACTTGGTTCGAATCCAGCGTCTGATGAACGCTTTCATCTTTTTTCCCCCGCTACATATCAGATTTTGCCAACTATTTATCACGAGAAAGACAATTAGGAATCATTAATAAGTTTGTGCATCTTATTTTATTTGCACATTAATTGAATGGAAATGTTTCTGATTCATGCATGCAAATTCATCTTCAGATAGTGTCTTTATAGCAATGTGCGTGCAGTAGATAGCTCAGATTACATTGGGAAAACAGGCACAATTCATGCCGCTGCAAATTGTGCTTTAATGTTTAGCTGGTCAACTGTATGGTATGGAAACCTTTTATACCTGCTAGATGAACCCGTCTCATACAGCTGCCGTTGCAAGGCTCAGACACTTTGTAGAGAGGAATTTAACACAACTGCCTCTAGGAGTCGCCAATGGAAATAAAACAGACACGCACAAAAAATGTGCGTACGCCAGCCATAAAGCTGGCGTGGAGCTGCGCACATTTCCACGTTCAGTTTATCGCTAGTAAATCCAAATGTGAGCGGTTCTAAGCGTGAAACCTGGCGTACGCAAAGTTTTTGTGCGTACGCAGCGTTGATACATGAGGCCCCAGAAACCAAAGCGATCTGACTGAAAACCCCAAGTCAAGTCACTAGAGTTCCCACCGCTGTGTCTTTTTCATCCTCATCTTCATCCTTAGAACTAATGTCATGTTCCAAGCCTATTTCTTTCTCCATTTGCCTTTCCTCTTCTTCCATCAAGCTAGGAGTTGAGTCCAGAATACCTTTTGCATGCTACAGTCTGCTGCTGTTTCAGTTTGAGGTCCTGCAGTCTTTTCTTCAGTACACAAGAGGCCCCTGGACCCATCCTCTGGGAATCCATTTGGATAGCCTACAAGTCCACACATAAAGAGTATTGGATTACCGTCACACTTGATATTTTATCAAAGAGACCTTATTTACAATACAAAATATTTTTAATCTAAAGACCAACTTAAAATATAAGAATAATTAGATGACAGTTTTTGCTATTTATTAAACCAGAATAAATACTCTTTTCTGTATACAAATGAAGCTTCTAACAATCTAGAAGAATTAAACCAATTTCCTGGCCGCATTAACTTCCTTAAGGTTGATTCTATTTTAGTGTCCGAAATTGATGGGCCCATTACATTAAAGGAGATTACCAAATCAATTAACTCATTGCAGTCTAAGAAATCCCCTGGCCCTGATGGTCTACCATCGAAATTTTATACGAAATTTCATTTCAAATTTGCTCCGCTGCTTCTGTCTGTTTTTAAGGAATCCTTAGATCTAGGGAAATTGCCCCCAACATTGAGACAAGCATCTATAACTCTATTGCCTAAAGACGGGAAGGATCCAACATTATGTAATTCATACAGACCCATTAGCCTACTCAATGTTGATGTTAAGATCTTAGCCATAATTCTGGCCTCTCGATTAGAACCAATACTTCCTAGTATTATCTCAGAGGAACAAACTGGATTCATTAAGGGATGATATTCATTTTCTAATATTCGCACTCTGTTTAATATTATATACTCAAGACAAAGCAGCGACTCCTCAGAGTTAATTATTTCATTAGATGCCGAAAAAGCATTTGATAGGATAGAGTGGGTTTACCTTTTCAGAGTATTGGAAGAGTTTGGTTTTGGGAATGGATTAATATCATGGATTCGCTTACTTTTGCAATAGCTATTGAACCCCTATCAATAATGTTTAGAACACTTCCTGTATTTCAAGGTATAATCCATAAAGGAATGGAACATAAGCTAGCCTCATATGCTGATGACTTATTACTCTATATCACTGATCCAATTGCATCTATTTCCCAAATAACTTGTTTATTAAATGATTTCGGTAAGTTTTCTGGGTATAAATTGAACTTACAGAAGAGTGAATGTTTACCCATAAACCAATCTGGCCAAACATTAAAACAGAATGACATCCCTTTACATTTGGAGAGAACTAAATTCAAGTATCTTGGTGTTAATGTTACCCTTTCCTATTCTGCCTTAAAGTCAGCAAATTTTACACCTTTAATTTCATACATGAAATCAGCTTTTTCAAGATGGGCATCTTTCCCATTATCACCACTAGGCAGGATAAATGCTGTAAAAATAAATATTCTTCCAAAATTACTTTACCTCTTTCAAGCTATTGCGTTGTTTCTCCCAAAATCTTTCTTTAAGAATATAGATCAGTTAATTTCTTCTTTTATATAGGCAGGTTGAAAAAAAGTTGAATAAGTGGAGGGCTCTCCTTGCCTAACTTTATGTATTATTATTGGGTGGCAAATATTCAGAAAGTGGTGTTTTGTGTACAGGCCTCTTCTTTATCATGGTGCAACTTAGAAGCAAAGTCCTGTTCTTCAACATCTCTCCCTGCTATGGTATTCTCTTCTCTACCAGTGTCCCCTTCGCATTATACAGATAATCTAATAGTGTGTGCTTCTCTTAAAATATTCTTTCAATTTAGGCGTCACTTTAAATTTATCTCTGCATCGACTATGGCCCCTATACATAATAATTATCTTTTTCTTCCTTCTTTCTTAGATTCTGTGTTTTCTTTCTGGGAAAAGAAAGGTCTAAAATGCTTTGAAGATCTCTATATTAACAATGTGTTTGCAAATTTTTCGGAATCATCATCATTATGTATCGCTGTATTGTGTTTTATTCTTGACTGTTTTTTTATTTATTTTATTATTATTATTTTTTTATGTAAAGCCTAACCAGGGACCAGGGCTGCAAATTAGCTTTATGCCCTATGTACACAACATCGGTTATCTTTGTATAACAATGTCAAGTGTATTGTCCCTGTAAAATAAACAAGCAAATAAAAAAAATTTATTATTTAACCTGCTCCCCTCTTACTTATTTTGTTATTTTCAGATTAGACATTGTGCTTCCTCTCTGTTCTCTGAGTTTCCCTCCCTGCCTACAAAGTCTCCATGGGAAAAGGCATTTAAACAATGTTCATACCAGTGGGATTATTTCTAAAATATACGCAATTATTTTGTCAAAGGATAATTCTCATAACATTAAAGCTATCAGGGCCTGGGAAGAGGAACTTGACTTAGAGTTTGAAGTTGACTGGAGTGCAGTATTGGACAATGTGCGCACCTCCACTTCATACGCTAGACTCAGTTTTATACAATTTAAAACGATACACAGAGCTCATCTCTCAAAGGCCAAACTTTATAAAATGTATCCCAATGTTTCTGATATGTGCGATAAGTGTAAACTATCACCTTGTAACCTTAGTCATATGTTTGTATTTTGTCCCAAGTTGCAAAATTACTGGATTACTTTCTTTAAAATTGTTTCAGGTGTTCTGGGGGTCAAGTTAGCTGTTTGCAATTTAATCGCGATCTTTGGTGTTCCCTCTCAGTGTCAACCTTTAAACCGGAGACACGCTGACATTGTGGCTTTTGCATCTCTTCTCGCTAGCCGCAGAATACTTTTGTCTTGGACCTCCCCACAACCCCCCTCTATTTCATTATGGCTCGAAGATTTGGTCTTCTTTTTAAAACTTGAGAAAATATAATACAATATTAGAGGTAGGGGAGAAAATTTTTTTGAAAAAATGGCAACAATTTATTGCATTCTTTAATCACTTAAAAACCTTAGACGTGTATTGAGTGAAGGTACATGTGTATGTATGTATATGGTTTGTTATTGTAATTTTTTTCTGTATTTGTATTTCATTTTGTTTATTACTATTTTGTTTATTTTATTTATTTATTTATTCATTTGTAGATGTTGATTGTTTTATTTGGGGATTGCTTTGTGGATCGTTATAAAATGTAAAATGCTATTTGCAAGAATAAAAATTCCATGACAAAATAAATAAATAAATAATAATTGCTTTTCACTTCACATCCATTTGACCTGTGAATTTTAAACATAAGATTTACCCTTACTTCCAGTTTTTCCACACTGAAACAGTGGCCATTAGTGACTGGACCTTGGCTACAATGTGTGTGTGTGTGTGTGTGTGTGTGTGTGTGTGTGTGTGTGTGTGTGTGTGTGTGTGTGTGTGCGTGCGTGCGTGCGTGTGTATGCATGTACAGCTTCAGTCAAAATTATTAGCTCTCCTGTTATTTAATTTTTTTTTTCTCAAATTTTTCCCAAATGATGGGAGTAATTTTTTCACAGTATTTCCTATTTTTTCTGAAGAAATGTTTTATTTTGGCTAGAATAAAAGCAATTTTTAAAAGCATTTTAAGGTCAATATTATTAACCACACTAATCAATCAATCAATCAATCAAGCCTTTATTTGTCACTACACTTTCGTATAGCGAAATTGGACCCCCCAGACCATACACAAAACATCACAAACAACTTTTCAGGGGAGACAGATCATAGGAGGCAGCATTTAGAAACGAAGAAAGATACATTTGGACAGTTAGGCTAAAAAACACCCCCTCAGCTTGCCCTTGATTAGGACAAAGTGAGAAAAGGGAGAAAAACAGCCCTATCTTAGCATAAGCACACTGGCAAGACACAACATAGACAAAGGGGATGGGAACAGTGGTAATGGAAAACAGTCCGTTGAGTGCGGGCAGCCAACTGGTCCAGCAGCCATTTCCGGCGCAAGTCACAGCCCCGCCCACGCCCCACGTGGGTAAAAACACACGAAGGCGTTTGGATGGGGATCGGTGGTGAATGTTTATCTGTAGATATGTTTGTGTGTGTGTGAGCCTGCATAGTCCAGAGTCCCGCTGGTGTCCTTGACAGGGGCAGAAATTTCAGAGCGTCCGCTTATCTTGCTTATCCCAGGGAGTTGTTTACTTCCAGCCGAGGCCGTCTGGCAGGAGTAAGAGGAGAACCGAAAAAAAGACAGTAAGATACTTCAACTTTAGGTCAATATCTGGCAATTTCACAGATATTTAATGTCCATCACTCGTCTCCCGATCTGGCCAAAATTTGTTGCAGAGCCGCTAGCTTCACCTCGATGGTTTCCAGTTTTCGGTCAAGGACCATAGTCTGATTCGCGACCCTACACATCAGTGTTTCAATCAAGCCGGCCAGCCTAGTGGGGTTTTGAGCTGCGCTGACCGCTTTTATCAGTTTCCGATATCCTAGGGCCCCGCATAAGCCCATCAGCAGAAACCCTGTTATCAAAGTTCTGAATAGGTAGATATCTTCAATATCCTCCAGAGACAGAGCAGCTAGACAGAGGACTCTCCACTTCTCCCACTCGTCCATCACATATCCAGCTGCGAGTGTCCCCGCAGGACAGCTGGGTTCCCCGGAGCCCAGCGATCTCGTTGAGAAGATGGTGTCAATTGCATTCAGAGACCAGTTGATCAAATCCATAATTCCTTTTTCGTTTGGAAAAGCAGGACAAGGAGAGCCTCAGAGATAGAATAAGACGAGACAAGAGGTGCTAGCAAGGAGAGATATGGGACGGAGCGGGAAGAAGAGCGACCGCCTTCGCCGAGAGCCAAAGAAGAAGATCAGAGCCAAAGAAGAAGATTCTTTCACTCAGCTATTTTTCCTCCAATTGCCAACTGAACAAAACATTTTTATACAATGACTGCTAATTACCTTAACTTCCCTAGTTAACCTAATTAACCTAGTTAAACCTTTAAACTGCAAAAGATGAATACGATTATCTTAAGAAATTCTAGTCAAATACTATGTAGTCATGGCAAAGAGAAAAGCAGTTCATAGAATCAGTTAGTTATTAAAATATCTTTCCATTTAACAGAAATAAATACAATAAATTATATATTATATTATAAATTATATATATATATATATATATATATATATATATATATATATATATATATATATATATATATATATATATATTTAAATTAACTAATTATTTGCACCTTTTTTTAAAAATTTAATATTTAAAAGATTAATTTTTTTAAAAAGGTGCGATTAATTAGTTAATTTTTTAATCGATTGACAACACTAATTTATATATATATATATATATATATATATATATATATATATATATATATATATATATATATATATATGTATATACCCACACACACACACATATATATATATATATATATATACACACACATATATGCACAGGTTAACGCCGTGATTTCTTCATAAAAAGAAGAAAAAAGACTTACTTGCTTCAGTATGGTCCCTCCTCAGGTGAACTGTGCATTGGAACCGAATCTTGTTCATGACGTCATTGCCATAGAGTTGGTGTGTGGTATTTGTACGCATCTGTTCTCAACAGAAGTGAATGGGGAGAATTGGCGTATCATATGCACGAAAAAATGGATTTTTGCATATGCATTGCACGCAAAAGGAAAGTGTAAAGTCGTGTTGTTTGTACACAGATTGATGAGACTGGGTTGAAATAACCTACTGTAACGTCTGTAATTATTTTAAATAAATAAATAAATGAACATATATGAACACATACAGACTCTTACAGTCCCTGATAAGTTACCAACTACAGAAAAAGTACATAAAGCATACATTTCGTCCTTAATTAGGTTCAAAACAACACAAAGTATAGCCTACAGTCAGTGAAAACCTCTCATCTGTGTCTGTAATCTTCAGCAACACATGTAGCCTCTGTTAAAGTCATTCCATCATTCCCAGTTCATATTAGTCCAAAAGGTGATGATAAAAATTAAAACAAGGCAGTTTGTTCACGTTTGCTGAAGAAATAACGTGCTCCTTGGCTTTCCCTTTTTTTCCGTGCTCCACTCTCGCGTTTGTCCTTTTCTTTCTGAATGTGTCATTCTCGCGTTTGTCAGCTTCTCACAGGATCGGGTTTCAAGTAATCGGACACAAGTAATCTCTCGCTGTGTATTTCAAACATGGCGGGTCCTTTGTTTACATTCTGGCTTGTTGCGTAAGTGACTGACGTATCTCTGTAAACAAATAGCGTTTAGTCTAGCTCCGCCTTTCTTGTGTTTGGGACCCTTTCGAAAGGGTGCCGAAAAAGTGGTACGGTTTGGTTTGGTACGCCTTTTGACAGTGGAAACAGCCATAAAAGCGTACCAAAACGAACCGTACCACTCAGTGGAAACGGGCCATAACTGCTTCAGCATATGTGATTTCTTTTCTCCACTCTTATCTTTTGTATATTTGTCTCCCTCTGCATGATTTTGCATCTACTGAATGCCACATTGTAAGCACCTCCGCAATTGCAACATTTTGGTTGAACCCCTGCTCCACAGTTTCCGTAATCATGATACCCTACACACCTATTACAGATTTTTACAATCTCACTGGATAACTCACAAATCCAAGAATTACTTTATTTGGCACTACCACTTCATCAAACTCTAATAACACAGTTTTACTGTCTTTAACTTCTCCATCTCTTGCTGTTTTCATTCTTGTAACATTCAGTACTTTTGCTCCTTTTATATTCTTTTTCATTTCTTCTTCTGTTACACTGAATAATACTCCTGTGATCACCCCTTTAGCTACACGTTTCCTCCCCACTTCCACCCTTATTCTCCAACTTACATTTGACCACATCCTTAATTTTCAGGTCTTTCTCCATTTGCCCAGCATCAGCACATCTCATTAGTAGGTTACCATCATTAAGGATCTTTGTGTACTCTATCTGCCCTACTTAATTTGCCAGGCTGGTTGTTAACCCAAATGGGTTTGCTTTCTTTATAACTTCTTGGTTCATTCCATTAAACCTTATCACCACTTCATACTTCTGTCCTATTTCTTTCAGAAAATAGCTGTTGTGCACAACCGCCAGTCTTTTTCAATAAACGTTTTAATACGATTTAATTTGAATTTCCCTCAAAACAAACGGCCTTCCAATCGAGTGAGGAACACAGACAAAGTGACAGCTTAAATACACAGGCTGGAACAAGTCACAGGTGATCAAAATTAAGTAAACAAGAACACACAAGGAAGAACAAAGGTAGAGGGGAAACACGGGGACCTCCAGGGGAATGGAGACAAAGTGCAGGATGGTGACAGACAGAGGCCTGAGGAGATGCTGAAATGACAGAAATGTTAATAGTAAGAGTACAGTTTAATTTTTAAGCATCAGTAATTCACTGTACACCTTAATTAGTTCATTTGCTCACTTTTTTAATCAGCACTGCAAAGACAACAATAAAGGAGCTGTAGGATCTGAACACAAAAAAAGTACATGCCATGAGTAAATCGAGCAGAGACAGTGATTATTTTACATTTAATACAATTTTATTTCATTCAATACTTCAGTCTTCATTTTTTAATAAACCATTATCAGTGTAACTGACTCGGTCCCAGTCATTCCCCTCGCTGGCCAGTAGAGGCTGCCATCCCCAGACTTCTAGCATTACATTATCCATCTAAACTGATTGTGCACACACCTGAACTGAATCTCGTTAACGACCCACGCTCCCTATATAAGCCACACTCAAACACCAGTTCATTGCGAAGTCTTGTTCAGCCACGGCCAACATTTCTGAGCGGGTTTCCCTGCCTGATCTCCTGTGCATCACCCAGGACTGTTTCTGACTCTGAGTTGCCTTCCGCCGACCCACGCTTGTTACACGGACTCTGAACCTCGCTGCCTGCCACTGATCTATGCCTGAGATATCAACCTGTGTCTGTCAGCCGCCAGCCCCAAGACCAATCTTGTTTGCGGTTGATGTGAGTTCGCACTTTAGTGCGTGTTGTATGTGTGTGATTGAACTGTTTATTAAATACTGCAAAATGGATCCCTCCGTGTCAGTCTCCTTGTTACAATCAGGCTAGCAAAGTGGAATCATTCATTTTGCATTGATATTGCATTCACAAAAAGATGCCATGTCTTAGATATCTTAATATGCAGTTTTCACTTCAGATGAGGTAACATTTCTATAATTTATAACAGCAAATCAATTGTCAATTACTAATGTTATTTTGACACACTGTCATTTTCTGGTGGAAAAAGTGCTTAAAGTCAATATTTTTATTAAAGTTGAGAGAAATCTAAATAAAAAAATAAATAAAACATTTTACTCAAACACATTGTATCTGGTAAACCTTGTTACTTGAAAACCACTGAAGGTCAACACTGACGCTTGCTCTACTTTTAACCTCTTTGTAATTTGTTATTTAAATACAATAATAAAAAATTTGCTATTATTATATGAAGCTTTAATGCTATCTCATCTAATATGACATACGGGATCATATATAAGTACATTAATATTGTTTTAATGTGTCATCAATTTAACAATGCCACTGAGCCAAACAAAACTACTGAACTCACTAAAGACAAGCAAAAGAGAGGCTATTAAAATCACTTCATCAAAATATCACAGCCTTTTCTGCTTACTAAGTCCCTCTCTATAAGATAAAGCAACTTATGCAATGTTTTCTGTGGTTTAGACAGCATAAACATATTCAGTAGTAGGCCTTTGTAGACATTAACTGCACAGACTGGTAACTGACCAACCCAGACCAAATATATTAAACTTCTAAACTAAAACAACTATATTAGCTATTAGTTCTGTTTAATAGCACACTGGCTGAAGCGTCTTCCTGCAAATGATATATGCTAAGCTCATAGTTAAGCAGTAAATGGTCAACTAACTTGAATCGTCTACTAGCTAATGCTAATTTCTAACTAGTAAACCAAAACAACAATTACAATTACAACAAGTTCATTCAGAATCCAGCAAATTTACCTGATGTTCATAATGGCCAAATTATGTTGTTTCAACATTTTGCTTACAAAAATAATTCAATGTTTATGTTAAGACCAGTTAAACTTCTACACATTAACCCACCTCTTCTTATACAGTTACAATTTTTTAAATTATTGTCAATAAAAGCTGCCTATTTCCACTGATAATACTAAAAATATAGGGCCCTATCATATACCTGGCGCAATGTGGTGCAAGGCGCGGCACAATAGTCTTTTGGTAGTTTCAGCTTGGCGCAAGACTCATTTTGAGGCGTTGCTCTACACTGTTTAAATAGCAAATGCATTAGCGCTCAAATGTGCCCATAGGCATTCTGGTCTAAAAAGGAAGGCGTTCTGAGGCGCACTGCTGGCGCGTTGAGAAACTAAAATAGATTTTTAATTAGAACAAAACAAACCCGGTCTAAACTCCGGCGCAGAGTTGCGCCTCGCTTACACACTGCTTAATACGCACAAGAGAGCAATAGGCAAATATCTTTACGTCCATAGGCATTCTGGTCTAAAAAGGAAGGCGTTCTGAGGCGCACTGCTGGCGCGTTGAGAAACTAAAATAGATTTTTAATTAGAACAAAACAAACCCGGTCTAAACTCCGGCGCAGAGTTGCGCCTCGCTTACACACTGCTTAATACGCACAAGAGAGCAATAGGCAAATATCTTTACATATGAAAAAAATTAAATATTAAGGATAAATATAGGATATAATAAGAATAAATATAGGATATAAATTTAAAGGATTAAAATATTACAAAACATTATTTTCTAGCCTACATAAATATAAAAATTCACTGCTTTTATGTCTTCTTCATCTCGGGAGGCTTTTTCAGTTCATTCAAAACAATTTGCTTTTGTATAATGTTATTATTATTAGCAATATTATTTATAATATCCATATTTTTATTTGTTTTATTAAAAACCAGCTTAGATTTGCCCACCTGTCAGGTTTTTTTAGACTTACTTTACGTCCTGTAAATAGCGAATGCGCTTATGGCGCGACGCAGCTGGCTCTTAAAGGGAATGGGACATGAGACTCTAACTGGTTTATTCTCAAAACACACCTATAACTCATTAAGAAAACAAACTCAACCCTTTTAGACCATGCGCCATGGCGCAAAGCGGATTTTCCCGTCCTTAAATTAGCAAAAATTTTTTCGCTCTGCGCATGGATCGTCAAAATAGCCCATAGTGTTGTGACCTGCAGAAAGGTCCATTCACAGACTCACCACTGGGTGGCAGCTGTTGCTGACTGGATTTCTTTAGTTGTTCCTGTTAATATAAAAAAAGGAAAACTCAAATCTAATCCTGACCTGACAAAAATCTTTATAGTGACTAAATGAGACAGAATCTGAACAAAATATGGACTTGATTTGTTTGATTGTGCCAGCATTTAATAAAGGGGCATTCAGAAAAATTATTTTTAGCCGGCATTAGCACCACTGTACTTCATGTAAATATACCGCAGGGGTTTTGAACACCACAGTTGAATGTAGAAGTATAAATATATAGGTCACACTAAAAGTAGTCAGTTTAATAATGGTTTACACATTTAATAACTAATTGCCTTCCCACTGAAAAAAACACACTTATAAAACCAGTGAGCATTGAAACTGACTATTCTGACCCTTTAATAGTTTCTTTCTTTTGTTGAACACAAAATAAGTTATTCTGGAGAATGAATCCGTTCATATAATGACAAGATGGTCGGATGCATTTAGGCAACATAGGCTCATAAAACGTAGCCCTATACACATTTCTAAAGGTTGCGAATTATGTAGCCAGAGGTATGTATGGCTGAATTAAATTTTTTAAATGAACACTACAAGGAAGTATAACAGCATTCCTTTTCGCTCTTATCAGCTGATCTGCTTACCGTCCTGTGGACGGCCTTCCCGCTGAACC